TGCATTCTTATGGTAGAAATCATTTGCAATGCATTCTTATAGTAAAATCATTTGCAATACATTCTTATAGTAAAATCATTTGTAATGCATTCTTATAGTAGAAATCATTTGCAATGCATTCTTATGGTAGAAATCATTTGCAATGCATTCTTATAGTAAAATCATTTGCAATGCATTCTTATAGTAAAATCATTTGCAATACATTCTTATAGTAAAATCATTTGCAATACATTCTTATAGTAAAAATCATTTGCAATGCATTCTTATGGTAGAAATCATTTGTAATGCATTCTTATAGTAAAAATCATTTGCAATGCATTCTTATAGTAAAATCATTTGCAATGCATTCTTATAGTAAAATCATTTGTAATGCATTCTTATAGTAAAATCATTTGTAATGCATTCTTATAGTAAAATCATTTGCAATGCATTCTTATAGTAAAATCATTTGTAATGCATTCTTATAGTAAAATCATTTGTAATGCATTCTTATAGTAAAATCATTTGTAATGCATTCTTATAGTAAAATCATTTGTAATGCATTCTTATAGTAAAATCATTTGCAATGCATTCTTATAGTAAAATCATCTGCAAAGCATTCTTATAGTAAAGTCATTTGTAATGCATTCTTATTGTGAAAACATTTTTAATGCATTCTTATAGTAAAATAATCTACAGTGCATTACTAATAGCAAAATATTTAGCAATGTATCTAACTAAATAATCAACTATCAGAATTTCTGGAAGGTCTTCTTGATAGAGCCGAGGACTTTTCGGGAGCCCTGATATAAGCATTTGTATAACTCCGTCGGAACTGGCTCTAGTCTATTGGGAATCATTTTAACACAGAAATATCGGGTTAATTATTAAAAGTAGGATGTATTGAATAATGCATGTAAAAACCTTTCTTTCGTTTTTTTACGGTTTATCAACACTTCGTGGGTTATTTGAAGCCATGACATATTTTGAATTGTAAGAACAATTATTTATGTATTTATTTTTGAGAGTGAATATTGCTTCATTATTGTTCATTCGCGAATCTGTTAGGACGGCTAGCCAATCCCTGTCGCAGACGCCTGCTCAGGTACATCTGTGTTTGATTAACACCCACAGGGCCAACCTGTGGATTATACTGTAACTATGCTGAGTAGATCTTTCTTACAATCTCTAGTAGAGAGCCCATCATCTGACTGATCAACAGTTTAAACAAGACCAATACGCTCAAAAGCTCGGTCACGATGACTCATGATTTCGTGCTAGCACACCTATTGACCGTCTGTCATTTATTCACAAGACTTCGGTCAACCCGTGGTATGGTTTACCGGCACTTTCCGAAGGTGTCGTGCGATGTGATTGCCTCCCCAGGGAGATAACATGTTGAGATTGGAACACGGGTCTCTTGGTCGGGTAACAAACGTTCGGTCTAATTGCCGCACATCAAACCATTGCTTTTCTTCTTCTTCTGTTTGTCATATCCCTTCAGACGGTGGGTGATTATGGCTCTCCACAACTTCCTGTCCTTGGTACCTCTTACTATTGTTTAACTTTTCACTGCTCTCATCTCTCTCTTGCTAATATGTCTTGTGAGCATTAAATTTTCGAAGCCCTCTTTCCTCATAGTGCCTTAGAAATTTCAATTGTCTGTTTTTTTTTATATATTGTATACACTCGCGTATCATGCAATTTTTGAAGACCTAATTTTCAAGCTAATTTTAAGAGGGTAGCATCATATACGAGATATAAAATAAGTGTATGTACTGCTGGCCCTGGCTACACTGTTGACGAAACAATATATCCATTTACTATAATCAAATTAGCTATACTATACAAATCCTTATAGATAATCAAAAGAAGGGTTGGTAAAAAGTGGGGGATCAGTTTTGCATTGTTATTTGGTATTAAGCAGAAACCACATTTCTTGGCCATAGCAAATTCATACATGGAATTCCAAAACATCTTTATTGGTAATCAAATGAAAGGATGATATAAATGAGGGATCATTTTTTATTGTTTTTTAGTATTAAACCCATCCCCCATTTTTGGCCACTATATGCTATCCATTTCTATAATCTAGACAGGATTTAAGTAAATTCCAAACAATATTCTTATAAGTTGATTTGTTACCGTATATACTCGCGTATCATGCAACTTTTGAAGATCTAATTTTGAAGCTAATTTTAAGAGGGTAGCATCATATACGAGATATAAAATTAGCGTTTGTACCGCTGAACCTGGCTACAGCTTTGACCAAACTATATATTCATTTACTATAGTTAAAATGTGTAGCTGTATTTAAAATGAACATGATATTGATAAAACTGATGTTTTACTTAACTGTATCCAATAATAATACATCTAATATTTACGTATTAGTATCGTATTATAAAATACAAACATAGTGAATGTACATCTTTTCTATTGTTTATGTTTATAAGATGTTTAGCTGTCTCCCGTTCGGTTGTTTACGGCTGTATGTGTTTACGCAACAAGTATAGCGTTA